AGACTTTTCTCCTAAATGGTAAGGATCTTCAAAATTATTTTAGTGATTTAGTGGTTTATGTAGGGGGTGTACTAATGGGTGATTTTTGCCTAGCCTGGAGTTCTTCTTCTTTTTTTTTTTCTTTTTTTTTTTTTTTTTTATTAACAAAAAAAACGAAGAGTTGAAACCTTAACTACTTGCCAACCGCAGATAGCTGAATGACGGCTACACGGCGGCTGGCTAGTTCTGGGAGGGCGTCATATGACGTCCTCCCAGAACACGCTCTCCTGCACGCCCCCGGCGATCTCCGTGATCGCTGTGTCCTACGGACACATGTGGTATATGTGGTAAAAAGCCAATCACAGCAGCCTTTTACCACTTGATCAGCCGTGTCCAGTGACACGCTGATCTCCGGGAAATGCAATTGCCGGTTCTCGGCTGCACTTTCCTCATGCTGTCAGAGCGTGAGGAAAGTACTGCAGAGAGAACTGGCAGTTGTCAGAGCAGGGATCGGCACTGATCATCAGGGCACTGATGATTAGTGCCCTTTTGATCAGTGCCCAGCAGCTCTGCCCACCAGTGCCACCCACCAGTGCCCACCAGTGCATCCCAGCAGTGCTGCCAGTCAGTGCCCAGCAGTGCCACCAGTCAATGCCCAGCAGTGCCGCCAATCAGTGCCCAGCAGTGATGCAGTGCAGTCCACCTATCAGTACCCATCATCAGTGCCGCCTATCCGTGCTACCTCAGTGCCGCCTATCAGTGCCCATCAGTGCTGCCTCATCAACTCACATCAGTGAAGGAGAAAAATTACCTGTTTGAAAAATTTTATAATAGAAACAAAGAAACTTTTTTTTTTTTTTTCAAATTTTTTTGCACACTTTTTGTTTAGAGTGCAAAAAGTAAAGCGCCCATTAAATACCACCAAAACAAAGCTCTATTTGTGAGGAAAAATAATGATAAAAATTTCATATGGGTACAATCTTGCATGACCGCGCGCAATTGTCAATCAAAGTCAATCAAAGTGCTGAAAGCTGAAAATTGGCCTGGTAAAGAAGGGGGTATAAGTGCCCGGTAGGCAAGTGGTTAATCAGCATTATTGTTACTTTAAAAAAAAAAAACAAAACATGATAGCCCCGGCTCAGAGATGCTGGTTGTCAGGGAGCTGCCACCCACCAGCATCCTAACCATCAGTGACTGATCGCTGCACGGTAATAGAAGGCAATAGTCTAAACAAACTTTTTACATTTGTGTTTAAAGTGTGCTTCCTGAAATCTTAATGTTATCAGCTTTCCCAGCTCTCTTTATATTTGACTTTTTCATTTCATGGTATCATGAATTTAAATAAATATGAAGTTAAAAAATACAATCCAGTAACATAAAATAACTTATTGAAAATAATAAAAATTGGACAGAAAGTAAAATGAAATATAATCTAAAATTAAACGTAATAAGAGGTGTTTTTGCATTGAAGTCAATGGGATGCAATTTCGCATTGAAGTCATTAAAGTCACCTTTTCTCACTATTTTCGGCGGCTGATATATCGGTGCATCGCTACTTTTATTTTGGGTATTGAGGCAGCCACGAGTGTCTCAGCTGTCAGAATGCAATAGCTGTTAGGGAAGATTCCTTCATCTATGCAATTGGCACGTATGGGGAAATCGACTGATCTTCTATAATTTATCCTGTGGGCGGAGTGAGAGAAAATGAGCGGCAGTGTATGGCTAGCATTAGTGACAAATGTGTTTGGAAGGTGAGGAATCCAGGATTTTTGTCAGTGTGAATTTGAACTTTTGCGGTGCGGAACCTGGGTTCACACTTTTGCGGTGCGGAACATCACATGTAGTTCGCACAGGAACCATACCGCATTCCTGTACAGATCACATGTGAATTCTGCTATACATTTTGTATGGCTCAAATCATACCGCATCTGTATCAAAAAGGTGCAGGACCCTTTTTTTTTTTTTTTTTTTTTCCGCACTATAATCTGATTGCATGGGTATTTACACCCATGTGATCCAATTCTGCACATCCGCATTTTTTTAAACTGATTTCAGGGTGTTGTTAACTTACACACCTGCAGCGGTTCGAATGAACTGGGTGTGATTATGATACGGTGTGGAATTCGCACAGAAACCGGTGCAAATTCCGCACCGCATCAGTGTGAACCCAGGCTGAAATCTGTATACCATATTAACACCATCACTCGTGTGTGTATTGCACATTTGATAGTACAACATGGAACTTCTCAGTTGAACAGGGTTGAAGTAAAATCTCAGTGACTGACACTGAAAGGTTAGAGTGCTGTTTTCAAACAGAGTCTAAAGCAGCGATGGGGAAAAAATATGCAGACTGCTCTACATGTGTGGTTTCTATTGAACTCACAAACTGCTGTATTATTATGCAGTTTTTCTTGTAAAGGTGTAGCCCGATTTTTCTAATGCTCTGTGAAGAAAACCTAAAATGATCTTCTTTTTCCACTTCCTTGCATCTTTGTACTAGATTCATTGATTCATGAAAATGACTGTTTGTTAGGGTTGCCAGGCAACCAGACTATATTTCTATTTCAACAATCTGTAACTGTTTTCACCTGAGTGAATCCGCTCTCTGTTTTTAAACTCTTCAAGCACCACCATCAATTTTGTATTTGGATGATACTGGAACACTGAACAGTGATAAAGGTTTCATATACTGATTGTCTTTGTCAAGTATTCCCCACCTAGAATGCAGGGAGGTTACGAAGTTGAAGGTTTTGAGGCTTTACGTATTCGAAATGGGAGATATATTGGGTCTTGGTGCATTACGAACGAAAAATCGTTCAAGTAAGTTTTCAAAAAACAAACGCATGGTTGTGATTGCAAACAATAATGCCATCATGTAATGAGTTTTGAAGGATAAATTGTTCAATTGACACAAATCCGCTTTATGCTTCTGGGTCACATGCGCAGTACAACAGTTAGATTTTTAACAGGCAAGAAACACATTAATCTTTCAAGTTATTGTCCCATTTGGTAGAAGTTTTCCAAGCTTTTCCTTTGATTTTTTTTTTTTTTTCTTCCTGTGATGTGTGCCCATTAGCTGGCCGAAAAAGGAGCAAACTGGCCAAATGACAGATTTTGCGTCTAGTGTATAGCCATTATTTCACTTAATTTATAAATATGTATGTGTGTAACTAGAAACTTTTTTTTTTTTTTTTTTTTTTTTTTCAAAGTGTGGATGTTTTATATAGAGGTGCTCTCATTAAATAATATGTAAGCCTGCAAAATAACCCATTCCATTTAAAATAGAAATGAAAGACAAAATATTTATGCATACATATAAAACCTTTATAAATACCTTTCCCCCCCCCCTTTTTTACTTTTTAGAATTGATCACATAATCTTTGCTGTTAGATGCATAAGGAGTTCGGGAGGAAAAAATGACAAAACGCTGAACTTTCCAGTGAATGGCTGTGCGGGGGGAGGAAGGGGGAGGTAAATGTATCAGCAAAAGTCTGAATATTGGAGGAGAGCACACTGTGTTGTACTTAAATATATAAACTCAAGTCTGGTGACCATTTCTTTAATGCTAAAACACACATTTTAGCTTTCTCCCGCATGTAAATGATCCCAGTCTGTTTTCAGTACATTTCAGTTGGACCAAAACCGATACTTTAGTTTTTAGGGTGAAATGGCAATATGCTGCTTAATGAGATGATGCAGGGACAGGACATTTTTATGTTACTAGATACAGGAGCTGATGTTGTAACCCCCCCCCCCCACTTACGTATTCTTTAAATGGATATTAAGTGCTTGTAAACACATTTTATTAAGCTGTACTTTCAGGTAAGGCTTAACTGTGGGTAAGTAACCCCCCCCCCCAATACTCTTTCATCTAGTGCTGGGCCCAAGAGTAGCATCACTGCTCTCTCTCCCCCCTCACAGACATTGGCTCCTACTGCTGTCTATCAATCAATATTATTGCACAGCGCAGGTAAGTTATACCAACGTTTATTATTTTAATAGACAAAAAGCTGAGCCTTTACAGTCACTTTAATTGGTAGCCGGAATGCCTAAAAGTGCTACTGTCGCCATCTTGGATCCAAAAGACAGTTATGACCATGATTGGAAAGCATCAGTGTAAGACTCCATTCACACTTGTGGGACTTCAAAACCCTGTGATTTTTCATTACGACTTTACAGTGCGACTTTCTGCAAGTTTGGTGTGACTTTGAACAAGGATAATGGTTTCTGCTGTACTAAGTCGCACACAAGTCGCATGTACAACATTCAGGTGCAATTTTTTTGCAACTTTGGAGGGTTTACATGACGTCTGTGGCCCTTAAGTTGCAGGAAAGTTGGACCAAAGTAGTGCAGGAACTAGTTTGAAGTCCCTGCGACTTGAAGTCGCACAGATATGAATGGTATGCATTAGGAAACATGGAGGGCGAATTGTCATGTGACTTTGGACCCCAAAGTAGCATGACAAGTCGTATAAGTGTGAATGGAGCCTAAAGAACCAGAGGTAATCTATCGAGGTGTATATTACAGCATGGGTTAAAGTAGAACTAAAGCCACAACTTCTTTTTTTTTTTTTCATTTTGAATAGAGTAAGGGAGGGTTATAACAACACCTGTCAGATTTGTTTTCACCATCTGTCTTCAATTTTTGGAGTTTTTTTTCCTTCACCTCCTGCTCTATAGCCAAACAGGAAGTGAGTGGAAACCCCTGCAAATTAATGGAATCTCTTGGAGACCCCCAGGTCACCAGAACTAGTGTCCCCATTGGAAAATATTGCCTCTATTACTTTTCTGGGGACAACCCAAAATTTTGGATTTTCTTTACTTTCGTTTCCAATCGTAATGGTAAACAGGACAGATAGAGTGGATGAGTCGCCTTAATGGGGGTGCAGACTGCAATAAAAACTGACAAGTATTTTAATCCCTCTCCATGATGTCCAATACTAAAAAAAACATTTTGCCTTTAGTTATACTTAGATATATAAACTCAAGTCTGGTGACAGGTTTCTTTAAAGTGTTACTAAACTCCAGACCCTGCATTCACTATATCTGGTCTCCCACAGTACACAGAACATGGAAATGTAATTATTTTAGTAAATATAAACTGCTAAATACCTTTTTTTTCATCAGAAGTTAGAGTAGTCTTGTGGCTTCTATCAGTGTTCAGCCAAACACTAGCTAAAGCTTGGAGGAGGAGGTGTTTCAGCTCTAGGACAATGTAGAACCCCTGACCTCTGACCAGTGCTGATTGGCCCTGTGCTGATCACATGAACTCTCCCAAGAAAAAAAAAACCTTTTTAGCGATAAACACCAAACTGAACATGTGCAAAATGCATGACATTCAGTCTGTCTTATTAGGAGATAAGGGGTGGTCACTCGAACAAGGGGAGGAACAGAGCTATCAGGATCGAACAGCCTTTTTACACAATGCAGAGGATTAACCCCTCAGATTCCAGTGTGTATAACCAGCATGATTTACTGCATATACAGACTGATTTTACTGTTGTGGGTTTAGGAACACTTTAGTGCTAAAACACACTTTTAGCCTTCTGCCAAAATAAATTATCCCAGTCTATTTTCAACTCACTTCTGTTGAACCAAAACCAATATTTTAGTTTTTAGTGTGCAGTGGCTGTTGTAAACCCCCCCCCCCCCCCCTTACATATTCTTTAAATTGATATTGCCTGTGTTACCTAAATACGTTCGGCCTCTAGTGAGAGATTGCTTCTGTTGCTTTCTGCAACATCACCAGGCGTGTAAAATTCTCCCAGGAGCAGTTGCTGTGAGGCCAGTTTGTTTAGATGTAGGCATGCACCCCAGAACTGCATCTCCCAAGAGCCTTTTTCCCTTGCAGAAAGTGTGTGGACAGGCTCTTGGGAGTGAAGCAGCAGCAAGTTTAGATCACAGTAGATATCTGACATAAGATATCTGACATATCAACAATTTTCTGTACTTGCAGAGTTTTTAAAGGAATTAAGCTTGGGGGGAGTTGTTCATGGATTGCACAGGAGTATGGCATGTTGTGTTTTTTTTTTTTTTTTCCCTCTTCAGTCTGACGCACACCCAGGTTTTGCAGTGGTAATCATACTCGAAAACCAAAATTTAACTGCAGAAGTTCTATTGAGGTACTGAAACATTTGTACTTCCATTTCCATTTGTTCCACTAATGTTCATGTTGTGTTTCTTTGATAGGTGAGCGTAGGATTAAAGTGGTTTTAAAGAAGGTTTTTTTATTTTCTTTTTACCGTAATGCATTCTCTGTATTAACCCCTTAGGAATGGAGGGTAAAATGTGAACACAATCTTTTCGTATATATCATCACAACTACTTAGTGTATCCTGCTGAACTATACCTTGCTTTTTTTTTTTTCAGGACAAATTGGGCTTTCTGTTGGTAGAAAATCATAATGGATATCCCCTGATTTATTTTTATTATCAAATTAAAACTGGCCCAAAAATCGTAAAATAATAAAAAAAAAAACATTTTGCTGTATATTTCTTGCTATTTGCACAATTTACCACCAAAAGACAACCCAAAATAAATTCCTCTGCTCTTGACGATTATTTCTTGTTTGTGCCCGTAATAAGGCCCCGAAACAACGGGGGTGGGACTGCACAGTGACTGATCACTGAGCCAATCAGAGGCTACCACAGCGATCAGGTGACCCGGAACAGGGAGTCCCAGGTCCTGATCGTTCATATAAGATTCGGGTCTTCTGGTGAGAGCCTGGTCTTAGTGTTGGGACTGTGCAGGTGTGCGGCCTCACATATGCACACAGACTTCAGTGAGGTCACAGGGGTTTTTTTTTTTAACCACTTCTTGTCTGTAGATGTCATGATGTCCTGGGGTTGCAGTGGTTATACTGGGATGATGCCTGCACCTGCTTGCTTATTACCAAGCATGTTTGTAAGCTGTGATTTTTCCAGGCAATTTATTAATAATTGCAGGCACTTTGCAAACATAAAACGTATTCAGTTCTAAGGATGAGCTTCAGGCAGAACACTAAAGCTTCCACCCCCCATTCCAGCCTATTTATGGTTCAATGAACATACTGGCTATGTTTGGTCAGTTTGGCCTCCTGTGGAACCTCTGGTTTATGTATCCTGAAGTTCGTAATTGGTGCCAGTAACACTACAACTACTAAATGATTCCTGGTGGATTCTGTTTGTGGATCCTGCGTGACATCATTGACCAAGTATGGTCAGCACTGAGGATTTTTAATTTGCAGTGGGAGTAGTTGTGGCTGATGATTGTTGGTATGTGTGTCTTTATAGTTTTTGTTTTTTTTCTTTAGTGATTAAATAACATCTGAACTTTTAGGGGGACCCACATTATATTTATATTTTATATTATATATATATATATATATATATATATATATATATATAATTATACAGTATTTATAAAGCGCCGATAGTTCACTCAGCGCTGTACATTACAAAGGGGAACTGTATAGATAGATAGAGATATAGATATAGATATATATATATATATATATATATATATATATATATATACTGTATATATATATATATATATTTTTTTTTTTTTTTTATATAGATAGATATAGATATAAAAAATTGTATTTATTTTTTTTGTGAAAGAGCAATAAATATTGTTTACCCAAAATAGCATACTGTCCATTTAGGAAAAGGACAGTGGGTTTTTGCTCTATTAACAGGCTTACCAAATTTTTTTCCTGGGTTCACCAAACCTGCAAACTATTCCTGCTCATATGGGCAAGCAACAGCCTGTTCAGTGAGAACATCCTTCACTTATTGCTTATGTTAGCCTGTTCTACTCCATTGCCCTGCTGTAGTCAGTTTGCCCTAGGGGATTCTCCAATCTTAAATTTGTTTTCCCTACTCTGCAAGAGTCTAGAAATCAAATTATATCTATTTGTAGTCTGTCTAGAATGATAAACCATATTTCATAATTGGCCTTCAGCATTTTTTCTTTTAATTTTACAGAAATGTAAGTATTTGACATCATACTTGTAACAATATTGGCTCTATTTCTAAAGTGTATGGATGAAACTCTATTATTTTAGCATTTGTGATTGTACCGGTTTTCTTTAGCAAATCCTATAATAATTAAAGAAAAATGCTAAAAAATATAAATCCCTCTTCACCATTTCCCTGGGACTCTTTCCTGTAGTAATACTTACTTCCCACAGGTCCAAATAAACAGCAGACATCTTGTCCATTGCAGCACTTTGGCTGAAGGGACAATTGCATTAAAAACCCCAAAACACCTAGCCCTCCAACCTTAAATTTAAAGCCCCCTCCCCAGGTACTTTGGTCTCCTTGATTTGTCTCCATTGTTGGCATAAGACCCAATAAACCTGAATCGCGCCCTACTTCTGTTGTTTCTACTGTAGATATATAGGTAGTTATTACAGGAGATATCAGAATGCAGGAAATAAACATGTCTTCAAGGAATCACAATGAAGTACGCACCTGGGGCATTCTACCTTAGGTTATGGGGGTGGGGAATTTTTTTTCTTGGGGGGTGTAAAGCCTGCTATACACAGGCTGAAAATCGTCTGGTTAAGCAGGAAGTGAGAAGGTGCATCATGTGAAAACAGATGAAATAAGAGAAACTTTTAGATTGGGACTAGTTGGAGGAAGTTGTGGGGACATGATGCCCAAGAAACATCTTTAAGTATTTACTGCGTATTTAAAGCAGTTCTAAAGTTTTTACCTTAAAGCAGAACTCCGGGCAACAACGTCTTTACGTGTCCTTGTTGCTGATTTCATACCTTCACTGAATGTCATTCATCTTTTGGTGCACTCAGTAGTTGCTTTTGAAATAGCATAATCATTTTAAAATCAAACAGTTAATACTCTTTGGTTTCCTGTTTGTAAGATCGGTGGCTGCTATTCTTCCTATTCCTCCAGCCACTGGTCTTGCCACATCCCTTCTGTAGTTTCTCAGGAAGCAGTTATGTAATTCAGGCCCACTCACAGGGTGGGTGAACCAAGACGCTCAGACACATTCAACATGTACAGGCCTAGTGTACCCGCCTACCTTCACTACAATTCCCCCATGGTTGATGGGAACTGTAGTTTCCTTCTGCAGAGAGATGAGAGTATATGATGTAATCCCTTCTGTACACCTCCTCCTTGGCAGAGCAGATGTTGCTCTCTTTTGAATTACAGAGATGAGGTAATGAAAATTCAAGTAGACTTTTCTCATAAATGGTAAGGATCTTCAAACTTTTATTAACGATTTAGTGTTTTGTGCAGGGGAGTGTACTAATGAGTGATTTTTTTTTTTTTTTTTTTGCCTATCCTGGAGTTCTTCTTTAATGTATTCCTTGCATTAAGGTTGTAAAACATATTTAGGCATTGGTATTGGCCCCTCACCACCTCTTTTATACTCCTTATACACCGTGCCAGCCTCCACTTCCCCGTGAAGTCTCCTGGGCTCCTCTTGCCCATCTGTGGGACCAGCTCACCACCGTCTGCTAGAGGAGAGGGAGGCTCCCCTTCTTGTCCTGACCCGGAAATTATGTTACGATGTCACTTCCAGGTCCCATTGAGAGATTCCCAGTCATGGAAGCCAGGAAGAATGTAATGCGGTTACATTCAGCGGACCACAGGGGAGACATGCAGGGTCTATTAGACCCTGGATGCCTCTAAAGAAAACTTGTCACCAACAAATCATCACATATTAGACTTTGTCCTCTATGTGATGTAAAAAAAAATACATTTTTTTTAATTGTAAAAGATGAAAGTTTCTCCCAAGCACATGCCCCCCACCCCCACATATATGCATGTACAAACATAAAAGCACACGCTGGGGCGCCTGCGCATGAAAATGTTGATTTTGATACACATGTTACATATCGCCACGCACACCAGAATGAAAGCAATAATTCTAGCACCAGACCTCCGTAACGCTAAACTGGTGACCTATAAGGAGCTTTAAAAGTGTTGATCTATAGAAAATATAGGGTACTGAAGTTCGTTGTCATTTCACGAGCACGCTCAAATTTTAGGTTTGACAAGTTGGATATTTATTTACTTGCAACCTAATCTTTTTTACAAAAAATAGGATAATTTATTACTTTTTTGTGCCCTAAAATTAATTTATTTGTATATTTTACTGACATTTTGCAGTAATATAATGCGACATAAAAGTTGGAACTACCACTCTTTTATCCTCTAGGGTCTCTGCTTTTAAAAAACCTATAATGTTAGGGGGTTTTATGTAATCTTCAGGCCTAAAATGATTTTTTAAACTTGTGCAAAAAATTAAAAAAATGCAAAAATAACTAGCAGTGAAAGGGATAAAGATTAAGCCCTGACCCCCCCCCCCCCCCTTCCTGAGGAGCAGCCAATCTGTGCTCATTACACTGCAAGGTAGTGCAAGGGGAGGAGGAGATAAACAGTGCAATGTTAAACATATTAATCATTTAAGTTGCCATAAAGCCCCTTTTTTGTTTTTAAATACAGTTTTGGTTAAAAAATGTTTTTGTTTTTTTTTATCTTGACAAGTAGATTGTCATGAGGGACAAGTAGATTGGGTCACCGATTTAGTCTCTGGACAAGTAGTTTTTTCAAAATTTCCACAACCCTGACTCTAGTTTGGCTTGGTGACATTTTACTTTAGTATTTCCTTGTAATACAGTAAAAGTTCCATTCTTCACTCTCCTCACTACTGTTATCTGTAGCATTTGAAATAAAATCCTCTGTAGACAGGGTTGTTAACTAGCTCTATTTATTGGCAGACTTTCTTCTCATTCACAAGTGGTACCTGGCTGTCAGCAGCATTTCTTTAAAATACCCGTCTGTAAGGAATTGTCTGGTGTACAGTGTCTTCCCATCATCAAGTATAAATCTTTTCTGTCTCTCTCTCATAAAGATTCCTGATCATGGCCTCATCCTCGGTTCCAAGGTTCACTTCAAACTCCTTGGAAAATGCCTCAATCCGAAGGGTAAGTCTTGCCTCGCAGTTAATGTTTACAGCTGAATGTTTTAGTGCAGTCTCTTGCAGGATGTGAACTATGCAGGGGTTTGTAGCAGGATTACACAAAGCTTTTGAAATATTTAACACCAAGGCTTCATATTGTATGTAGCATTGAGCTACCACACGCACTAGAAATGGCATTATTTTTGTTCAAGATGCTTTAATCTGAACAGTCTTAAAGTATAATTAAGGGCGAAACATTGTGGGGGGTTTTCTGACTTGTGCGTAAAACCACTGTTGGGTTTTTATTGCTGTCTGTGTGCCTATTTAAGGTCCATACAAACCATAAGAAAATCGGATGAAAAAATTTGTACGACAAACAATCAGCTGATTTATTTGATCGTTTTGTATAGTGCTTTCGACAGCCAATTCTGACTTTTCGGACAGCAAAAACTGAAGGTGCAAACTAGAAAATTGTTATCTTAAGTGCACACAACTTCTGATTTACGTTTACTGTGTGCAAATCGAATATTAAAAAAAAAAAATGTGCATGCTCAGAAGCATAGAACAACCCTACACTTCCTCTTCTACTACGCTAGTACATAGCTGCTTTAGCCTTTGCCGGCTGACAATTTTCATACAAGTCAGTACCATTCTGACTACATCATGATATGCACTTTTGTGGAAAATTGAACAATTGGTCATCCAATTTTCTCATAATGTGTACTAGACTTTAGAGATCACTCTAACTGATCTGATCAGAAATGTGACAGAAAAAGTGTGGGTAAATTCATATTTTTGAGTTTACAGCATGACAATTATAGTGGGGATATTTTGCAATGGAGACGTGTTCTTATGTCAACTGTTCAATGTCAGGATTTTCCTGACATTGAATAAGCACCTTCTGGCATCCTGTTAGATAATATTTTATGTATAAGGTTTAATGTTACCAAGTATGGGAAATTATACCATCTGTCTGTGTGTGCTGTTTTTCTCCAAAATGTGATGTGTGGTTGTAATTACCTGGTGATCTTGCCTGTTCCCTAATGAGCGGCAACACTATTGTGTGCAATGAACAGACTCCTGCTTGTCAGGGGGAAGCGGTCAGGAGATCGCTTCCACAGCCCCCGGTTCCAGTACCCAGCCCCGTCCAACACTCCCATTTTGAGGCCCACTCCCCCACTCCTGCATATACACATGTACGAACGCAAACACACACATTGGGACCCTACACGTGAAAATGTTGATTGCGATACACATATTACAAATCGCCATGCAGCTGGAGTGAAAGCAATAATTCTAGCACCAGCCCTCCTCCATAATGCTAAACTGATGACATATAGGGGCTTTTGAAGTGTGGCCTATAGGAAATATAGGGTACTGAAGTTTGAAGCAATTTCATAGACGTACACAAATTTAAGGTTTGGCATGTTGGGTATCTATTTACTCGGCACAACCTTGACTGCTATATTTTAACAAAACGTTGGGTAATGTATTGCATTTGTTTGCCCAAAAAGTTACTTTAGTGTGACTTTTACTGAAATGTTGCATTTCCTAGACCTTTACAGTATTATTGTTTGACATAAAAAATCAAAACTACCACTATTTTATTCTTTTAGGGTGTCTGCTTTCAGAAAATATGTAATGTTTTGGGGGTTTTGTGTAACCTTCAGGCCTAAAATGATTGTTAAATACATGTGCAAAAACAGCTCTGGCAGCGAGAGGGTTAAAGAATCACATGACCACCAGGGTTCCGCCAATACATTCCCACAGACATTATCATTACTCTGCTGGTTGTTATTGCTGTCTGTAGGAAAGCGTGGGTGGAACTCTGGCGGTGACGTGATTAATAAAGATGTGAATGAGAATAACATTACCCTAAACAAAGCACATGACAGTAAGTGTTGCATTCATTTTGGGTTTTTTTTTAACATGAAGGTCTTTGCATTTAGATCAGTTAATAATTAATCAGTTGCTCTGGCCATATTATTCCGTGCAATTTTTGTTTTATATATACAGTATTGTGCATAGGTTTTAGACGGTTGTGAAAAAATGCTGCAAAGGAGAATGCTTTCAGAAATAGTAGTGTTAATAGTTTATTTTTATCAATTAACAAAATGGAAAGTAAATGAACAGAAGAGAAATCTGTGGATGTAGACTGCCTCAAATCCTTCTGTCTCTTCATGTAACCCCATACAGACTCCATGATGATGTTGAGATCAGGGATCTGGGTGGGGCTAAATCATTACTTCCAGGACTTCTTGTTGTTCTTTCCAATGAAGATAGTTCTCAATGACATGGGCTGTATGTTTGGGGTCATTGTCCTTCTGGCAAATATATTTGGGGCCAATTGCATGCCTCCCTGATGGTATGGCATGCTGGATAAGTATCTGCTTTTACATGCCTTTTTCACTCTTTAGGCAAAAAATAAAAAGTCCATACGCTCTGGTATGAGTACATAATTTTTAGGGTGATGGTGCACTCTGCTTTTTAGAAGACGCGTGGACACAGACAGATCTTCCCATCATATTACACAGTAACACTGGGACTTTTTCTATCATTTCTTGATATTTTTACTTTTATGTTTTTATGTAATTTTTGTTTTTCTAGTGGATAATTTTATACGATTTATCGAATTATTTTACCAACTGCTTTGTTTTGGGTTCTGTCAGCTCGATTTCAGGCGATGTAGAGCTATAAGTATCTGCCTGTATTTCTCAGCATTGAGGACACCATTAATCAGGCTACGTTGAGGACCGCAGACAAAGTGCCAAAGAAAATTACATCAAGTCTGTCTGGGATTAGCTGAGACAGAAGGATTTGAGGCAACCTACATTCACAGAAGATTTGTGGTTAGCACTTCAAGATGTTTGGAACAACCTACCTGCTGAGTTCCTTCAAAAACTGTGTGCAAGTGTACCTAGAAGAATTGATGCTGGTTTGAAGCCAAAGGGTATTAATGCCAAATATTGATTTGTTTTAGATTGTTCTTATCTTCCTTCATTTTCCATTTTGTAAACTAAAAAAATTAAGGAAAATATGTTTGAAAGCATTTTTACTTAAGCTTTTCTTCACACCTGCCAGAAACTTTTGCACAGGTGTGTGTGTATTATACGTCTATATTGATCCTGGCAACAGGATCTTTAGTGTGTCGTAAGCCTTAACATACATCTGTCATTCCATCCACCTGTTTAAAATAAGTTATTGTTTTATGCAGTCTCCAAGAGATGGTTTAAACCAAGAGCCCAGTGATGAAATCCCCCTTCTCCCTGGAGAAACACTTGTGACAGGTGAGTTTGTGGAAAAAGGCCATGTATGCAAAATTTTACAGTATCCTCCTAGAACTATGAAAACTTAGCAGCCTATTATATAGTAACCATTACAGTTGCCTAAATTGCTATTCTTTACTTGTCCGTGTGCTGGCTTGTAATTCAGTCCAGACTAGGCTTCTTGTCTTTTCTGCATTTTTGTCTAGCCAGGGCAGCATCCTAGCAAGTACAATTGTTGGAAAATAATATATTTTGCCAGAGCAGACAGCATCTTTAGTTAACGTTCACATGACATTTGTAATTGTTTAGTAGCATTAAACTAACATAAGTAGTAAAAACAATTTTATTTATAGGTAAAGTAATTTACAAATTTCACTTTTAGCTGAGCTTGCTTTTTATTTTATTTTTTTTTACCAGAAATGAGTTTATTGTAGAAAAAAACAAGAGCTACATTTCAGCAATTAAACAGATTCCAATAAAGGCAAAAAATTGTAAACACATACAGTACAGTATTTGCAATATAGTGTCAAGTGACAAAAACCTAAAAAGTAGTCTCAGTTGGCATTCAAAATACTCCAATAAAGGAAGAACCAGTAAAATCCCTCAGTTTTGCAAGGAAGAAAAACTTTAAACACAAAAGAGAAGGAAAAGAAAAATATTCCAATGTACAAAGAAGTAGAGCATCCTAACCTAAATCATCCACAATAAGGCACAGATCCCCCTTTGGTACTTCAACCCTGAAGAAGCCTATCCATTACCAACTGATATAGTGCTAGGCCGGGGATATCTAGCCAAGGTTTCCACATAGAGTAAAATTTACGGGGAACATTTTTATCTTCCTATGTAAATTTTTCACATATAAGCATATTATTCACCTGTTCCACCCATTGTTTCTTAGTTGGTATGTGGGGGGTAATCCTAAAGCATGCAATTAGTTTAAGAGCAATATATAATAAGTGTATGACTGCTACATGTGCGTGTGGGGGTAAGAGATTCCTTCTTCCAGCGCACCCAGTAAACAGACAATGGGATCTCTTGAAAGCTGGAACATGTACATTTGTGAACTGGTGTCTATGACATCCGTCAAATAATGGAAGAGGTTGGAGCATCTCCAGATTATATGGAGAAGATCTCCATGGTCTCGTACACATTTTGGACACAGAGGGGTAGACCTGCTTCACCATCAAAATAACTGGACTGGTGTTCTATATATCCTATGCAACAGAAATCGATGGGAGAATTTTTCAGATGCCAATACTGAGACTAACGATGCAGAGGTTAAGCAAAGTGCCCAAATGCCCCCATCAATATTACTTAGATCCTTCTCCCATTCCCACCTGAAAAACATCACAGACGTATTCTGAGTTTGAGTAGGATTGAGTAAATCTGTGAAATCATACCCTTCTTATCTGTTTCCATCAAGGCATTTCTTACAATGTGGTGGTCAGTTAGAATGAGTCTAGAGAATCGGGATTGTGAATGAAGTGTATGTCTCAGTTGTAGATCTCTATAAAACTGACCCCTGGGAAGGTCAAACTTGTGTAAATTTGAAAAGGATTTCAGCACAGTGCCATCATATAATTGAGTCATATACCTAACCCCTGCCTTTTCCCAATCTTGAAAACCTTCCATTTTGAGCAGCTACTTATGATTGGAATTATGTCTAATTGAGATATAAAGTAAGAAGCCCTAAATTGCCGAGCTGGTTTAACATAGATCCTCAATGTTTTTAATAAGGTAATTGTTGTGGTGGCGGTCTCTAAGTGGGTGAACCCCGCCTTCAGATGAGTAAGGGCAGAATAGCTATAGAGTCCCAGGGTAGAAGAGGGGCCTGGACAGAAGCTTAAGGGTCAATGTGTCCTCAGCCCCCAACTGCTGCAATAGTGAGACAATATATTATGACCTAGAATGAGGGACATCTAAACCCCCCTGTACCTTTCCTAGTTGCAAAGCAGGATAATTCTGGCCCTTTTTGTAACGCCAGATTAGGTCTCTAAACTGGGAGCCTATGTGAAGGAGCCACTTACAGGTATCCAAATTGGGAAATTATGAAATACATAAAACTGTGGGGCCCACACCATTTTTATGAGATTAACCCCCCTGACCGCTGATAATGAGAGTTTGCACCAAGCTGTGTATTTTGCTCAAAATTTACACAGCATTGGGAGCAAGTTTAGCACTATATATTGATTGGGGGTCAGTGGTGGTCTGAATACCTAGGTAGCGGAAGGAGGAAACTCTTTGCACTGAGCTAGCGCATTTGGGCAAGGGTGAAAGCAAGGGGTCCAGTGGCATAAGGACTGACTTATTCCAATTACTGGAGAAGCCAGATAGGACACCAAAATCTTCAGTTAGAGCCTGCGCTGTCTGCAGGGTTCCCTGAGTATCTCCCAAATACAGTAAGGGTCACCAGCATACAGCGATAAGACATCAGTCCGAGGACCTCTAAGGAACCCAGTGACATCAGCCAAAGCACGAATACGTGCAGTCAGGGCCTCTAAAGCAAAGGCAAACAGCAGGGGTGACGATGGGCACCCCTGCCAAGTGCCCCTAATGTAGGACAAAAGGTTCAGAGAGTTCCCCATTCACCCAGATCCCAGCAGAGAGAGCTGCATAGAGTACACGGATCCACTTATTGAATGTGCTGCTCAGACTAAAATGTTCCAAGACCTCCCAAAGATAGGGCAATTCGACACTGTCAAAGGCCTTGGCCTTAGGAGAAAATTGCCCTATTCCCAGGGTGGTCATCAGGTATGTTCAAAAAAAGACATTGTATAAGGTTCTGAGCAGTAGGTCTAGAAGGGATAAACCCAGACTGGTCCCTATGAATCAACTTGTGCACAACCTTTGCTAATCTAGACACCAATACCCTGGTCAAAATTTTAACATCAGACTTAGGAGTGAAATAGGCCGTTATGAATCAGGGCAATAAAGCATTCTTCCCAGGTTTCAGTAGTAGAATAATAAGTGCTTCATTCATGGATGTAGGTAAAGTCCCTGCCCAAAGAGCATTATAAACATTTAACAGGACTGGTTTCAGGTGTTCAGCATAACGCCTGATGCAGACCATCAGCCCCAGGAGATTACCCACTAGGGGAGTGTGTTAAAGCCAAGAGCGGTTTCTCCTCAGTCTGCGGAGCATTAAACTTCTGCACATCTGAGTCTGACAGGTAACGCAATGAACAAGGATCGAGGAAGCCAATAATGTCTGACTTAGTCGGCTGTACTTTAGTTGAATACATATCCACATATAAAAAGTGTGAAACACTTGATGGATATCTGAGGTAGAGCAGTGTAGGGAGCCCTCAGTATCCTTTATGGCAGGAATATAGGATGAAGCCTGTTGGGTACGTACCAACATTACCAGCACATGCCTTGTAGTTTCATGCTTTTCTAAATGCTTCTGCTGTAAGGAGAAGCGCTTGTTCTCTGTTAGTTGTAATCTAATTGTTCAGACATAGATTGAACTGCCAGCCAAGTCCTGCCCTCCGAGCCTCTGCAACCATGTTTCCCAAGCTTTAATGTACCTTTTTTTTTTTTTTTTTTTTTTTTTTTACCTGCAAAAAAATGTGCATTTATTATTTTTTGTTAAAAGGTGAACGTATCATTTAATCAGTGTCAGCTATCCATGACAGAAGTGGATCATTTGGTTGACTTCTGTGGAAGGGGGTATGTTAGAAAATTTTCATTTATCAGTGGCTGCAGCCTAGGAAGTCAGGTGTTAATGTAGCATATCTCTGTCACTAATCCTGTAATTTGGTCAAAATTTCCATTGCCAAATATGTCTACCATTGAATGGGGCATATTCAGCCAGTCCAGGCTTGTTCTTTTCCTTTTAGTGTATACCACAGTCCTTCTTTTTTTTTTTTTTTTTTTTTTTTTTTTTTTTTTGTCCTCACTAGTTCTGAATCCATTGGAAACACTCTAATCTTGTCAGACATGCAGCATTTTTTTTTAGAAAAATCAACTTGCCTGGCAGGCTTTTTTCTGTCTTGTGTCTGACTAGTAGAAGTTTTCCAACAGAGGATGATGGAATTTCTGACAGACCAAATGCTGACAATGGGCTACTGGTGTGTGTGCTTTTATGCATCTTTACATAAATTATCAACAATTCTACAGAAAGTAGGCCCTAACAAGTGCCATTGCTTAAAGTTGATGTGAAGGCAGAGGGTTTTTTACCTTTTATAGTGAATGCAGGATCCTGACTTTAGTAACACTATATCTGGTCTCCCACAGTACACAGCATGGAAATGCAGTTATTTTAGTAACTATAAACTGCTAAATACCTTTTCTCATCAGCAGTTAGAGCAGTCTTGTGACTTCTATGTGTGCAGCAGAGTACTGGTTAAAGCTTGTAGGAGGAGTTTCATTCTCCTCTCACTGTCCTTTTGAGACTGCAGGACCCCTGACCCTCTGTCTGGGCAGTGCAGATTGGCCCTGTGCTGATCACATGCATTCTCCCAAGAAAAAAAAAAAAAACTCTAGCAATACTCACCAAGCTGAGCATGTGCAGCTTGCCCCCAAGGCTCTGTTCCATAAGGAGATGAGTTGGGGACAGCAGAAAAAGGGTAGGATCGGAGAAGATAGACTTAAACATCCTTTTTACACAATTCAGAGGTTTAACCCTTCAAGTCCCACAATGAGTATTAACAAGCGTGCTTTACTGCATATACAGATTGACTGTTGTGAGTTTAGTAACACTTTAATACATTTTGTGTTCAGCTCCCCCCAGTTGACACACAGAGCCCAGCTCAGGATCAAGCCTGCATGAGTGCCCCCATAGCAAGTGTCTTGCTATAGGGGCAATCAGAAGGGGGGAGGAGCCAGGAGCAGCAGAGGATCCGGGCTGCTCTGTGCAAAACCATTGCACAGAGCAGGTAAGCAGGACATATTTATTATTTAAGAGAAAAAAATTACCTTTACAATGCATTTACAAAATGGACAGTGTATGTCAACTAAGCAAAATGTATTTCCCAGCACACCTACCAGCTAGCTAGCAAAATACGAACTGCAGTATCCAACGATTTGTGTTTAAAACAGAGGTTTTAATTGCATAACATTTGCCCATACTGTATATGATACAGATACAGCCACGCTGTTTCATCAAGTCCCTTCTAATCTTTGAGTATCCATGTTGGAGCATATATAGCAATAGATTCATTGAAGGGCAAGTATGCCTGGGGGAGCCCGTTCCTTCTTAAGTCGTATGTTACCCCTGCACTTCATATTCCTGATATGTACCTGTTGTGCTATGTACAGCACTTGTGTTTCAAAAATAAAAAAATATCCTGTTCCTTGTGTTTTTCTTCCTTCGTGTGAAATTTCTGGTGATCCTGTCATTCTCTCTGTTCCAAACTGACCAAGCTTGGCATGAGAGCTCAATCATCCCAGCGTGGTCAGGTTTTTGGCTGTGCTGGGTGCACAGCCTGCCTGTTTCTGATGGCCATGACGTGTTCCGACACTTCCCCCTGCACAGCTCTTTACTGAGAAGATCAGTGTCTCCACCCCCAGCTCTTATGCAGCTGAGAACAGAGGTTATGTAATCGCTTATTAAAAACATTAAAAAAAAAAGTATTCAAAACATTTAAATGTCTTTTTGCATTTTTATTTTAAACTGAATGGGGTTGTTTTATAAGGTGAGAGATCACATATACAGGGGTTGACCAAAAATATGAAAACACTGCATGATTTGCAGGTGTGACAGTGACGACATGTTTCGTGTTGAAAGTGGAAGTGATGTAACATTCTTTTGCTTCCGCTGTGCGATGAGACACCTAGCTAACAGATGGGAAGCCTCACTTTTTGTCATTCACTACGTGCACTGCTAGTATATACTGAGTCATGTCAGAGCTTACTAAGCTTCAAAGAGGGCAACTTGTTGGTGCTCTCTTAGCTGGTGCCTCTGTGACTGAAGTTGCCAATTAATTTGCCATGTCATGAGGTGAGTGACCAAAAGAGACAAAAGGACACTGCACAGGATGGTCACCCAGAGTAAGAAAATAATTGCTGCAAAAGTGACTGCACAGCTCAATCTCAGTTTTCCAAAGCCTGTGTTCACAAAAACTGTACAGAGGGAGCTGTCACGATCACGGCGTCAGACCCCAGACCTTCTCACCAAACTCGTGACCGAAGGACTAGCCGATCTAAAACCGCGATGTCACGTGCGTAACAATGCCACACCCAGCTGCACCCTGCACAACGATTTTCCAGCTAATTGGACCACAATCGATGTACCGGCAGCCTGAGCGATTGTTACTGGGTCAGGTTAATTACGCAATTAACCCTTCACACTGCCACCACCTCCTTTTTGTACAGAGAAAGAGGAAACTCGGCATAATCAGCTAAAACACTATAATGGTTGAGATAATTTCTGCATAATACGGTCACCGCAGGCCGATTATGCAGAGAATTAAACAAACACAGTAGTGTTCTCTTTAGAGGCAGGAATTTGTAAATTGCAATAAAGCGCTATAGAAACATTTCAACAAATTTCAGAAGGAAAGATTTATTACTAAAAGGGTCAAACGGGTGCAATAAAAATATTTACAGAGAAAGATGTAACATATATATATATAGAGAGAGAGAGAGAGACACCAACAGCACAGCAAAGAGATATCAGAGAGAGGTGAAAGGGTTAAGGTACTTTCCAACGTCCTGGGTTAGCAGATCCAAGTTTCAGAGCAAAAGGGCACAGGTCTCCCCAGGTGGTATTGATGTTAAAACGGGAGACGTCTTCTACTCACACTCTTAGGCCTGACAGCCTATTTTGTAGTCCCCAGCAGGGGGTGTCTCTGAAGTCAAGGACCAATACCCCGTTTAGGGCATGTAGGTATGGGTGGATACCTCAACTAGAGCCAAAATCTCCCATAACTCATATTTTGGCCCATAACTTTTCCTATGCACAAGTGACATTCCACCCGCAGGTAGATTATTAGGCAGACACGTCTGAGGATTGATTAGATATGAATTATGAAATTATACACTGAACGGTTCACTAGATCTATTTTTCGGCTTTATATGTATACGAGACAATGCGAGTGACCTACCAAACTGTTCGCCTTCTCATGGCCAATCTGACGATATGTCCGGTTTTTATGTAAGTCTCATATTTTAAGATATGAGACATAGGGGAAAAATGGATTTTGAAAATTGGTTATCTGATTCTGTTACATACGCTGATTAGCTTATTAGGTTGGAATCTCTTTCAACTCCTGTGAAAGCTTGCCTTATCTCTTCCAAGGTATTACAATTTGCAGGTTCTTTGGACAGAGAGACCCAGCTCCCTTGGGGGGCTTTATAGCTCCTATGGCCCTCCTGTGACATTCCTAACTCACACACATACTGGCCAAATGTCGCTGGGCCTCTCAGAGAGGGAAGGGGGAAGAATGAGGGAGAAATATGTTTGTCAGAATGGTTAATCCCTTTGCCAAGATGGAGGTTGAAGCCAAAATGGTTGAACCTCGTCCATCTCTGGGTATATGCTGTTACAGGAGCTCCATAAGCAAAACCTTCACAAGCAAGCTGCAATTACCGAACCACTAGTGACCGATATTAATGCTCAGAAGAGGAGGGAGTAGTGCAACACCCATAAATCGTGGATTATCAATCGATGGAAGTCTGCAATATGGTCCAATGAATTGAGCTTCACACTGTTCCCAACCACCGGACATGTTTACGTGTGGCTAACACTGTCTTTGCTCTCTTGTGCCAACAGTAAAGCATGATGGCTCTGCAATAATGGTTTGCGCAGCCATATCTTTTTTTATTCTGCAGGCCCCATCATCACCTTTTTAAAGTAGTGTCACTGACAGCGGTTTTGTACAAATTTTGGCCGACCATGTGCACCCCATGGTGCAGACATTTCCTGAAAACCGCGCCATTCACCAAGATGATAATGCTTAGTTTCATACAGCTGGTGTTGTCAAATCGTAGTTTGGCGGTGTTGCAGTCGAATTTTCGCACCTTCCTCGGGCGGCACAGTCGCCAGACCTTCGTATTATAGAGCCACTATGGTTAATTTTGCAGAACAAGGTTCAGCTTGTTTTCCATTTGTTTCCACATACAAATGATGTGTTTCATGCTCATTAGTACTGCTAAGTAATAGTTTTTAATTGTGTTTAGCTGTGCATCATTCAGGAAAACTCTGCTCAGATTGATTGGAAGCATCAAATTCTGTGTGTGTGTGTGTTTTTGAAATTGCTTTTAGTATTTACAGTGCAAATCTTTTTTTCTTGGTTTTGGATAGAGTGAAGATGGATATCCTTTCTTTGTGTTGTGGCTATGGGATAGAAAGTGAAGGGAATCCCCCAATATTACACAGATGGCAAAAAAACCTGATAGGGCGTATAACCAGTTTTTGACCGCTCTATAGCCAAAAGACAGCTACAGCACAGTCATCCAGTTCTGGGAGGGCATCTGTAGACTTCCTCCCAGAACAGCTTATCACAGATTATGGTAACGGGGCAATCACAGTGGCGCTTTGCCATGTGATCAGCTGTGTCCAATCACAGCTTATCACATTGTAAATAGACTTGCCTGTTATTGGCACTCCTGTAACAGCATGAGGAGAGCTGATAACTGGCAATTGTGAGGGGACGTTTTGCACTGATAATCAGGGCAACTCAATCCATGCTTATCAGTTCTGCATATCAGTGACACCTATCAGTACCCATCAGTGACACCTGTTGTGCAGTCTCATCAGTGCACATCAGTGAAGGAGAAAAATTATGTGAAAAAAAAATGTATAAATTTCCTATGGGTACAGTGTTGCATGACCGCACAATTGTCTTTCAAAGTGCAAGAGCGCTGAAAGATGAAAATTGATCTGGACAGGAAGGGGGTGAAAGTGCCCAGTACTGAAGTGGATAATGTTCTTACTCTATCCAAAATGGAAACAAAAATTGTATTTGCTTCTTCTTTAATGCTCATGTTATATAAATTAGATTTTCAAATGTGTAACTGCTTTAAATACACCATAGTTTTTCCTTAAATAAAACATCTATTAAAAAAATAGAGACGCTGACATTGCTGGCCTCAATTGTAGTTGCTAGGTTTTATCTGCCTTTTAGTACTGACCTGGAACAAGCATTTGTATCAGGGAAGTCTGGCTGAAATCAGAACTACATATTATTTGGTAGTGAAGCCACTAAACCAGCTTGACAGCCAGAGAGCTGGCATTTGCAGGCTCAGCTGTACCAGCCTCCACATTTTAGATTTCCTTTTAAGATCAGGGACTGCGAATCAAGAGATGAATTAACTTGACAGTACCTTTTGATAAAACTATGATATAGCTGTAAAAGTAGAATATATTAGGTATTAATATTGAGACTGCTAACCCCTCCCCCCCCCCCCCCCCAAAAAAAAAAACAACAAAAAGCAGATTTTGGTGTAATGCAACGTCCGTTGTCACTTCACTGTGACATCCAAAATTGTCTAAATCTGCACCACTCCATAGTCTGAAGTAGCAGTATTTTGTTTACATATGTTATTCCCCTGCATTTAATATCAAACTCTATGTGCTCTAGAGTCTCTGGTAAGAATCATTAAACCTTATAAATATTCTTTGTCTTTTGGACTACTACTGACCATCCACAAGACAGACTTTTTGTTGATCCACTGTATAAAACTAAAAGGAAATCCTCCTAGTACTCAAAACACAAAGGCATGAAGTGCAATGCCTTTTTGAAAATTGTTTTACCTCTACTCATAAGAATAAAAATATACCATGGGTCCCTTAAGGAAAAAAAAAAGGTCAGGTATAATGGGTGCCTAGAGTTCCATTTGTCACATCACATACAGTGCTCAGCATAAATGAGTTGACCCCAACAAATTTTCAGAAACCTTTCCTTTCAGAATCAATATTTCTGTGGGATGCTATACTACAAAATACTCCCACAATTATGGCCATTGATTTCAAACAAGACTTGTGAATTTGTACATACAATAGAATATTTTTCCTAACATTCATTCAAGACCATGTTGCAAAAATGAATACACGCAAATTAGTCTTATGCAGGCCATAGACTGTTCGTTTATCGGCTGATTTTTCATCCAAAACAGTATACGGACTATTTTCGCACTGTTAGTGGGGCAATGGCATTGGCCGATTTTCACGGTTCCTCCTCATTTCGTTTATCGGTCATGCTGGAAAATTTGTGAAAAACGGCCAATTTTCACAATCATTGTTGGCCGCATCGGTTTACAGAACGAACAATGTTTCATTTTTTGGACCAAAAATCGGACGATAAACGAACCATCTATGGCCTGCATTAGGAGCAAAGCTAAAGACAATGAAATCCCAATTAACAAGAATTCAAATACAGGTGAGTCTAATTATTCATTAAGCAGGTGTCCAGCAGACAGTTAGTTAATAAAGGGCGTTACCTAATAAACCCCTTCCCATTTCATGCTGTCAGCAATGGCACCACATGGAAGAGAAATGTCACAAGGACTGAGAAAATAATTTCTTTACACAAGAAAGGTGAAGGCTACAAGAATATCAGCAAAGCTTTACTTATCAGTCAGCAATACTGTTGCAAACATGATACAAAAATATAACAAAGATGGAACTGCAACCATCATAGAGTTTTCCAGGCCATCCACAGAAGTTAACACCTCGACAGGAGCATCTTCTGATGAGAAGGGTTGAAGAAAATCACCATGCAAGTTCATTACAGTTTGCTAAAGAGTTAGAAAGCCAAACTGGGGTGATTGTTTCCCATGACACAATACAGCATACACTGCAGAGGAATGGCTTGCATGGGTGTCATCCACGAAGGAAGCCTCTCCTAAAGCCCATGCACAAAAAAGCCCACTTAGAATTTGTTAGGGCCATGCTGAAAAAGAAGACTACTGGGACTCTGTACTCTTAAGTGATGAGACCAACATAAATGTTTTGGGAACTGATGGCTTCAAATCCTGATGGCGTTGCAATGGTGAGGAGTACAAAGAAAAATGCATGGTGCCTACAGTGAAACACGGTGGTGGCAGTCTCCTTCTGTGGGGCTGCATGAGTGCTGCTGGTGTCGGGGAGCTGCATTTCATTGATAGTATCATTAATTCACAGATATACTGCTCTATATTGAAAGAGAAGATGCTACCATCACTCTGTGCCCTTGGTCGTTGTGCAATTTTCCAAGATTACCATGATCCAAAACACATCTAAAGACCACTCTTGCATTTCTGAAGAAGAACAGGGTGAAAGTGATTCAGTGGCCAAGTATGTCTCCTGATCTGAACCCTATCGAACACTTATGGAGAATTCTGAAGTTGAGCATCACTCTCCATCCAACATCCAGGCTCTAAAAGAGGTTGTTCTTGAAGAATGGAAAGAGATAGATGTTACACTATGTTTCCAACTTGTGTATTCCTTGCCTAGAAGACTTGGTGCTGTCTTTACAAGTCATGGAGGTCATACAAAATACTAGATGTAGTAGTTTTTGTTGTGTGTGTATTCATTTTTGCATCAACCTATTTGAGTAAAACTGAAGATTTTGTAATCTAAGTTATATTGTTAACCTTATTTTCATGTAATGAGCTAAACAAAATTTCTATAAAACTCATTTTTGTCAAAATTTAGGAAATTGTTCTTGTGTTCATTGAGAGATTGATTAAAATCTTACTTTTCAAAAGTTGCGTACTCATTTATGCTGGACACTGTAAATATAAATGTACCTCTAAGGCAGGGGTCTCCAAACTTTCTAAGGAAAGGGCCAGTTTACTGTGCTTCAGGCTTTAGGGGGGTCGGATTGTGGCCAGTGGGAGTAGAAAATGCCCCGGCATTAGTGCCATTAGTGGTTTTAACAGGAGGAAAAGCTCCCCATTGTTGATATCAATGAGAAGAATACTGCCCCATTGATGGTGTTAATAGGACGATTGGTGCTCCATCATGATGAAGTAATGCCCCAAGGGCCAGATAAAGGTGGGCAAAGGGCCACAGCCGGCACCCGGGCCGCAGTTTTGAGAACACTGCTCTAAGGCATTGCCTACCTACATAAAAATGTACACAAATTATACATTATCCTCTTATTGGAGCACTGTTCATACCACAAATCTACAAAGATCCTCTCTGGGGGAGCCCACCCATCCATATAAAGCCAACAATGGAATATAAAAAAAATTGATGTAGTGACAATTGCAACCCTTTACGCCCCCAAACTTTGTAATGTTTATCCACCCAAAAAATGGTTGGTCTCTCATGAACCGTATGCGTACAACAAAATTGTAATCCATTAAACAAAATGTACAATTGTGGCGTGCTCCTTCACACGGGTCCCATACATTAATAAAACCTCAACCCAATGAAGTATGATGAATACCGAGTCACATACACCCCCTCTAATCATATCCCTAAAAGATGATATACATACACATATGAACTCTGGATCGTATAGGGAGATTATTACATTTCTATTTCCTATGTACTCTATATATTGAGAGGTTTTTTTGACGATGGTCTGTGGAAGTCCACAAGACAGGAATTTATATAAGGTTTAATTTGCATATGCTATTACTTTGATGTACTGTTTGATGTACCCTATTGTGCTGTCACTGGAACAAGAAGCGTGTCAGTTGTGTACCTTCTTCATCATTGCTTTAAACCAAACCCAAAATTACCTCTGACGTATCTTCTAATTCAGGTTATATGTACTGTTTGTTTTTTTTTCAACAGATAAAGATGTCATTTACATGTGTCCATTTAATGGGCCAGTAAAAGGGAGGCTATTTGTCACAAACTATAAACTGTACTTCAAAGGTGAGGAGCCGGTAAGTTAAAACCACTGTTACCAACCACCATACAACCATGCTGCAACATCTTGCAAGTGTTTTTTATTTTTTTTAATTTTTTTTGTTTATTTTTTTGAGTTTTGATTTGGCAGGCAACCATTCCATTCAAAGCATACATGAACTACACTATTCTTTATTTGGGACAAATGTGTTGTGTAATCACTTTTTTGGCTTTTACTGAAGGACTAAAATTTATTTCCTTTTGGTTAATTAGATGGGTACATATAGTCATGGCTAAAAATATTAGCACCCCTGCATTTCTGTCCGATAATGCACAACTTCACCAAGAAAACCGTTGCAATTACAAATGTTTTAGACATTCTTATGTTTATTTCTTTGTATTTGTATACCACAAAAAAAGGGGAGAAACAAAAAGCCAAATCTGACACATTCCACACAAAACCACAAAAATTGACTGGACAAAAGTATTGGCACCCTCAACTTTAATATTTGGTTGCACACCCTTTGGAAAAAAAAATAACTGAAATCAGTTGCTTCCTGTAACCATCAATGAGTTTCTTACACCTGTCTACTGGAATTTTGGACCACATTTCTTTCGCCAACTGCTCCATGTCTCTCAGATTGGAAGGGTTTCTTTTCCCCGTTTTTGAGATCTCTCCAAAGGTGCTCTATGGGAATGAGATCTGGACTCATTGCTGGCCAGTTCAGTACTCTCCAGCGCGTTCTGAAACAATTTCTGGGTGCTTTTTTGACGTGTGCTTTGGGTCATTGTCCTGCTGCAAGACCCATGACCTCCAAACAGAGACCCAGCTTTCTGACACTGGGCCCTACATTGCACCCCAGAAATCTTTGGTAGTCTTCAGATTTCATACTGCCATGCACACGGTCAAGACATCCAGCACATGAAGTAGCAAAGCAACCCTAAAAACATCAGTGAACCTCCACCATGGTTAACTGTATGGACTGTATTATTATTTTATTTTTTATAGTCCTTATTTGTTTTTTTTGAAAACAGAATGATGAGCTTTACCAAAAAGCTGTAACTTTTTCTCGTCTGTCCACAGCACTTTCTTCCAAAAGAATTTTGGCTTCTTCAGGCAAGTTTTGGCAGACACCAATTTGTCTTTTTGTTTCTGTGTTAGCAGTGGGATCCTCCTGGGTCTCCTAACATAGCGCCCCTTTTCATTCAGATGGCACAGTATAGTGCAAGCCGACTGTTTTACCCTGTGCCTGAAGGTCAGCTTAAATTTGTCTGTAAGTTGATGGAGCAGGGGTGGACTGAGATCTCATGGGGCCCCTGGGCAATAGGGGATCACGGGGCCCCTGTGTCCTCGCCCACACTCAAACCACACCCAAAAAAGCCTATGAAAGGTACTAGGGGCATCTCATGGGGTCCCCTACTGACCCTGGGCCCTCAGGAAGTGCCCGAATGGTTAGTCTACCCCTGTGATTGAGGGTTTTTTTTTTTTTCCCCCCTTGTTAAAATTTATTGGTTGCATAGGAAAACATACATGTATGTGTACGTATCTCTCTGTCTCTGTCTCTCTCTGTCTCTGTCTCTCTCTCTCTCTCTCTCTCTCTCTCTCTCTCTATCTATATATATATATATATATATATATATATATATATATATGTATATATATATATATATAAAAAATAGTATGTAGGTATGTGCAACTGGGCCAGATAGGCACTACAAATAGAGTGAAGAAAAAATACACCCTAAAACACAGATAAATCAAGGTAGCACCGGTAAGGTAGGCTATGGCTTTAAATGCAGAGGGATGGCTTAGGCAGGAGACAATAGAGTACTCTAAAGCTTAGTCTGATGAAGACTGGCTTGAGAATATGGTCTGGAGAAAACAGAAAAGAAAAAGTATGAAGGAGAAGGGGGGGTATTTCCAGGGTAGTAAAGTTGCCCAGCGGAGCCAACTACCAAATCTCAGACTCGGCTGTAGCGATAATACAGAAAACAAAATTAAAGATGGCGATCTCCACGCCTTGGCTATGGTCTGTTCAGCGGTCGTCAGAAGCTGGATAAAAATTTTGAATTGTCTGTGCATCAAGGACGCTGGTTTCAGATTGAGAACAGCGGTGGAGGGGTCTGATTGGAGGGTTACCTAAAAAAAACAGGCTAGTGCAAGAATTTCTTTTCCAGAATGATTGGGCCACTGGATACTCCCAACAAATGTGCAAATGCGTGCCTAGTTCCGAACAGCCGTGGAAACAGTGCCGAGCTAGTTGGTGTAAATTTAGCGGTTCTAGTGGACACTAGATACCATCTGGCCAAAACTTTGTAGTTGGCTTCCACCGCAACAACGTTGGGCGAAGAGGACTTGGTAGCTTGCCAAATCTTTGACCATTCACCTGTATCGAATGAGCGGCCTAAGTCTTTCTCCAACTTTGCAACGTAGGACAGGGTGACTTGGTTAGGTCTAAAGAGAATCTCATAGTAGAGAGTCAAAATAAGGCCTCTGGCATGAGGGTCTTTAGAACAAATTGGTTCGAACTGAGAGAGATGATTCAGTACACTAATTCTATGAACGTAGGGGGAGTAGACTATTTATATGTAGATAACAAAAAATAGCTCCAAATGGGGGAGACTAAAAGATTCACAGATTTGGGAAAGAAAGAAATGAGGCCGCATTGACCATCTTGTAAAAGCGGATAAGGCCTGTTGCGTTCCGTGCATGGAAAGATGTATGACTATCCCAGGCTGGGAGGCTAGTTTTGTGAAGAAAGGAAGGAGCGGGTTATGCAAAGATTGCAAACCATGCACCGTTTTAAGTTTATCCCAGATAGATAATGTTTTGTAATCGGATTACGTAAGAAAGCTCGATCCACTGGTCGGAGCCACATTAAATTATCCACCATCAGAGGGTCACAATCAACTGATTCTATGGACACACACAATGGGGTTTCGCCAACCGCGAAATGGTATTTGGGCAGGTGTGCTAGGTGGGCTGCGTAATAGTAGGAAAAGTTGGGAAGACCTAATCCACTGTGGGGTTTGAGGAGATACAAGGTCAACTTGGGTATCCTTGGTTTAGTCGGGCCCCAAACATATGCCATGGCTCTCCTTTGCAAAATCCTCAAGTAGTAGGCTAGGACAGGGGCTGGTAAAACTCTAAAAAGGTATAAAAGTGTGGACAATATACACACCTTAAGGACATTAATTGTGCCTATCCAAGAAAGCAGGAGTGACCATTGCGACGTTTAATCCCGTCACCTGTTTAAGCATTGGTGGGTAGTTGGAGGCAAAGAGATCAGTATGTGCAGCAGTTAACTGTATGCCCAGATAAGGACGGCAATGGTGAGCCTATGTGAATGGTTTCTTGGGCTAGATGCAGCTCTTCCTCAGTCATAGATTTATTAAGTGAAATAGATTTATGAACTTTTACTGAGAAACCGGAAAGAAGAGCAGATTGGGTGTGGCCAGCAAATTTGGCGCCGATATATGCGGGGAAGATAACAGCAGGATGTCATCTGCGAAAAAGCATGTTTTTGTGATGATATCCACCTAGCTCAACACCTGTGATTTTGGGGTCAGAGCGGATGTGTTGTGCCAACCATTCGATAAAAGGGAGAAAAATAAAGGGGAAAGCAGGTAGCCTTGGCGTGTGCCCCTTCCAATGTGAAATAGATCTGATTTGTAGCTGGCATATTCGACATACGCTCTTGGCGAGTTGTAAAGGGCTGAGACCCAGCGCAAGAAGTGAGGATCAGAGCCCCATTTTTGCAAAGTATAGTGTAAGTAGGGCCATGACACAGTATCGAATGCCTTTTTTATGTCTAGGGAGAGGTAGCAGGAGGGGGATACAATGTTTTTTTTTTTGCTGCAAACTAGAATGAACCCTACCTGATTGTAGCGAATTAGGCCCCCAATGACTTTATTAAGTCGGGTTGAGAGGATTTAGGCTAAAAGCTTGATAACAAGATTTAATAGAGATATTTGACGTAATTAGTTCAGGTGGAGTTGTCAGAATGGGGTTTAGGGAGCATGCATATGATTGCCATTAGAATTTCTGGGCGAAAAATGTCCTTCGAGCAGGGTGTTAAGGCTGTAGTTAAGAGAGGGGTTACAAGCTCTGTAAAAGTTTTGTAATAGGTGGCAGAGTAATCATCCGGACCTGGGAGTTTATTCAGATCACGAATGGCAATGGACACCTCGGTTTTGGTGATAGGGGACTTAAGTTGGGCGTAGTGAGATTGAGAGAGCTCTGGCAATGTAATATGCGAGAAAAAGGCATTCGCCTGCGTGGTGTCTAAAGCACAATCGGGTGTATATAGGGAGGCTAAGTGCGACTGCAACTTGCGTAGAATCTTGACCGGATTACTTGTGTAAGCGTCCTGTGGTACCTTAAGTCAGATGGGTTTAGAGGGCTTGTCCAATGATTTAAGTGTATGCGCCAGCAGAGTGTTCAGTTTGTTGGCTTTGAGATAGTATTTATGCCTGTAGTACCGCAAGGATTTATCTGCCAGTTCAGTGAGGAACAGGTCAAATTCTAAGTGGGCTTTGTCTAGTTGGAGTTTAGTTGTTGGATGGGTTAGTTTTAAATGTCACACAGCAAGGGTTAAAATCTGATTCCAATTTCTGGTATAGAGTTTTGTGTTCACATGTGAGAAAAGCCATTTGACGTATGATCGCCCCGCAAATCACAGATTTACATGCCTTCCATAAGGTGAGTGGGGATGTGTCAGGGGTGAAATTGTGTAATAATTATTCTTTAAGAGCTATTTCAATATCTGCACAATGAAATGGATTTTTAAGCATGGAATCATTGAGGCACCAAGAGGAATTGTGTGCTGTCGGGATAGAGGAAGCTATAGTGGATAGCACCGCATTCTGATTCGACCATGTGAATGGCAATATCTTAGATGCCAGAATTTCAGGAACCATGCCTACGGTTACGAAGATATGGTCAATTCACGAGAAGGTCTTATGTGGATGGTAGTAGTAAGTATGGTGTTTTTCTAGTCTGGTGCAGTTCACACCAGGAGTCCACCAAGTTGTATTTAGTGAGAAGATGGCTAAAGGGAAGCTTTGCAAGACTAGTGCAGGGGACGATTTTGTCTAGGAATGGCAGTAGGACTTGATTCGAGTCTCCATAGAGTATGACTACCAACTGGAGGAGATGTGACAGAAAGGATGTAGGTCGCCTGTTGGGGGCATAGTATGACACAATCTTAACAGCAGTGTCCATGAGTTGACCAGTGAGGATTATATAGCGCCCGTCAGGATCTTTAATTTCGTCTGAGAGAATGAATGTGGTGGTGCGATGAAACGCTACCAAAACACCCCGTTTTAGTTGTGGCTAAGGAGGTGTAGACTTGGGGATATAGTGAGCTGAAGAATGTGGGTGTAGCTTGAGTCAAAAAATGTGTTTCCTGTAGGCAGAGTATGTGGGGCTCCATAGCTGCAAAAGAATGGAAGGCTTTTGTGCATTTTTGGGGGATGTAAGTCACTGAACATTCACGGAGAGAATGTTTAAGGGGGCCATGTTAATGAACTGTGAGAGATAGAATGTGAAAAAGCACACTTACCATGGAAGTTGCACCAGCCCTCAAGGGAAAGAGACCAGGTGAAGAGACCCAGGAGAATGAAAAAAGAGACATAGTAAACAACAACATACAAATTATAACCTTAAGAAAAAAAACTGTGTGCCAACAATTGCAGTCCTTTTGGAGGGAAAACCGGCATCACTCCAAAGGCAATGGTGATACTGTCGAGTGCCCACATAAATAGGGCAGGTAGCCGAGAGTATCGGAGTGAGGACGCAAGGAACAGTCCTGGAGGGACCCAAGCTTCAAATAGAAATCTCTGGCAGAGTAAGATTTCAGGGCCGGATTTGGTTATTGAGTTTTATTGCTCCAAGGGAGGATACCAGGGAAATAAAAGGACCAGGAGGTGGGTAGGGAGGGCAGGGAAAATGATGGGGAGGGTAAAAAAAGGGAGGGGGGTGGCCATTTGAGCAAGAGAGGACAAGCACAGGCTCAGTTGGGCAGTATAGAAGAAAAAAAAACAAAGCAAAATACAACTGCCAGTACAGAACAATAATTGAGTGTTAAAACAATCATGAGTAAATACATCTCAATTAGAGTGAAACCTACTAGCCATGCAATACACACTGGTAAGCAGGGCCTTTTGGGAACCAAAAAGGTAAAAATTCAATTAAAAGGGTTGGGAGATGTGTAGGATGCCCCGACTGAAATAAGACCGGTTCATGGTACAATTCCAAGTGTCCAACGTTCAAGTCTCTGTAGCCTGGTGGTAGGTCAGGTATGTCCATGTGAAGGCAGATGGGAAAACCAGGGACGGTAGGGGGGTTGGGAAGAGGGAAGGATGGCAGGACAGGGATTAAAAGGGGGGGGGGGTATGCCGCCTATATAAAAGGAGCAGACGAGGGGTATTGAACACAGGTTACCCGTGTTCACAGTAAGCTGTCACATGGGAATTAGGCGCAGGGTTGTAAAGACATTGGGGGGAATCAAGGGGCTATACTTGTGGGTCAATCGGACCATTAGGGCAAGAACAGGTTGTCACCCAGCTGAGGTCAGCGACTCAGGCAAGGGAGAAGGGTTCCACAGGTGTTGGTGGATAGCTGTCAGTCAACCGAGTCTTCCACTGCCAGGGCAGGTGAGGCAAAACAACCGCACTTGTCAGAGCCCTCTCCCATTGGTTGTAGGGGTGAATTTTTGGGGTTTTGTGTGGAATGTGTCAGATTTGGCTTTTTCTCCACTTTTTGCTGTCATACCAATACAAACAAAAGAAAAAAAAAACATGAGCTTGCCTATACATTTTGTAATTGCAACAATTTTCTGGGCAAAGTGGTGCATTATCTGACAGAAATGCAGAGCTGCCAATATTTCTGGCCATGACTGTATTTCCTGTGTATAGCACATGGAAATGTGATGGAAAACTTTGTTTACCCAGCTCACTTTTGTTGTTACAATTGTTAGAGATATACTTTTCTATAATTTACTTTATTAGATTTGGTTTACTATACCTAAGGTATTTTTTGAACTGTGTGATGCGTTGCTTCAAAATGGTCTTGACATTCTAGTTCATAAAAACTTTTTTTCTTTTTTTTTTTTTTTTTGTGAGGTTTAATAAGTACTGTCCATGTCTTTTATACTGATAACAAGTTCAAACAGGTGCCATATAAGGTGCCTAATGTCTTTGGAAAGAAAAAAAAATTCTTTCCAAATCAGCCAATGTGATTGTCTGGATTTTGTTTCTCATTTTGTCTCTCATAGTTGAGGTCTACCTATGATGCCAATTACAGGCCTCTCTCATCTTTTTAAGTGGGAGAACTTGCACAATTGGTGGCTGACTAAATACTTTTTTGCCCCACTGTAGTTAATGCAAAAATAAATACACCCCACAACAAGAACTACTCCATCTATTAGTTTGTATGACCTCCATGATTTGTAAGGACAGCACCACGTCTTCTAGGCATGGAATGAACAAGTTGGCGACATACTGCAACATCTTTTTCCATTTTTTTAACCACTTGCCCTCCAGAGGATTTACCCCCCCCCCCCCCCCCCCCCCCTTCCTGAACAGGCCATTTTGTGCGATACAGCGCTGCATTACTTTAACGGACAGTCATGCAATGCTGTACATTACATTTATGTCCATTTTTCTCACAAATTGAGCTTTCTTTCTGTGGTATTTCTGTGCGGTTTTTATATTTTGCGCTATAAATAAAAAAAGACCAACAGTTTTGGGGAAAAAAAAAAAAAACATTTTTACTTTTTGCTATAAAACATATCCAGTAAAAAATGTTTAAAAAATCTAATTGTGTCATAAATTCAGGCCAAAATGTATTCTGCCACATGTCTTTGCTAAAAAAAAATTCCCAATACATGTAAATTAATTGGCTTACATGAAAGTTATAGCGTCTACAATTGGCAGTGTATATACTGGAATTTTTATTCTTTTTTTTTAATATACTAGTAATGGCAGCAATCAGCGACTTATAGCAGGACTGTGGTGGGCATTCCGACACTGGGTGGGAACTGACTAACTGCCAATGACGGTAATACAGTAATCAGTACTAATAAAAAGCACTGACACTGTACTAATGACACTGGGCAGGAAGGTTTTAACATCTGGGGCAATCAAAAGGTTAACAATGTGTTGTGTCTGTTTTACATATTGTGCTGTGTGTTTTACTAGGGAGACTTGCTGCTGTGTATTTCTTTGCTGTGCAGAGAAATACACAGCAGCATGTCCTTCACATGGCAGGAGAGAGACCTATGTTGTTTATACACAGTCTCTCCCCTGTCAGTTCTGCATGGCGATCGCCAGGTGTAGGTGGGGAATCTCCAGCTGAGACCTGGTGATTGACATCCCTTGCTGCCAATGACATCAGGCGTACCCCCTACCCGGAAATGCAAATCACGTATATACACCTGATTTTGCTCAGCCCTGCAGCAGTAGTTCTACTATAGGGCAGCAGAAAAGCGGTTAAGAATGGCCTCTCTTAGATCCTGGATGCTGGATGAACAGTGGTGCTCAACTTGTCTCTTCAGAATTTCCCATGGAGGCGCAGTTGAGTTCAGATCAGGAGACATACTTGGCCACTTTCACGCTGTTCTTCTTCAGAAATTCAACAGTGGCTTTAGATGTGTGTTTTTTGCATCATTGTCATGTTGGAAAACTGCACGATGACCAAGGGCACAAAGTGATGGTAGCATCTTCTCTTTCAATATAAAGCAGTACATCTGTGAATTCATGATACCATCAGTAAAATGCAGCTCCCCAACACCAGCAGCACTTATGCAGCCCCACACACGTACACTGCCACCACCATGTTTCACTGTAGGCACCATGCATTTTTCTTTGTACTCCTCACTTTTGCGACACCATCGGTTCCAAAAACATTTATCTTGGTCTCATCACTCCAGTCCCAGTAGTTGTCTTCTTTTTCAGCATGGTTCCTGGCAAATTCTAGGTGGCCTTTTTTGTGCATGGGCTTTAGGAGAGGCTTCCTTTGTGGATGACACTCATGCATGCCATTCCTCTGCAGTGTACACCATATTGTGTCACAGGAAACCGTCACCCCAGTTTGGCTTTCTTCTTCTTCAGCTAACTGCAGTGAACTTGCATGGCAATTGTCTTCAACTTTTCTCATCAGAAGAAGCTCCTGTTAAGGTGTTAACTTCTGTGGACAGCCTGGACATCTCTGTGAGATGGTTGCAGGTCCATCTTTGTTGTATACAGTATTCTGACTGATAAGTAAAGCTTTGTATTATAGTGTCCCATGTCCCAAATGTTGATTCTGAAAGGAAAGTAAAGGTTTTCTGACAAATCTGTTGGGGTGTGCTCGTTTTATGCTGAGCTGTGTGTGGATATATATTAATATAGCTTTATTTTTTTTCTCAGTGGGGCCCTGTGACTTTATTTATAAAACTAGTAAGATGTCTACAATGTAAAGGTGGCCTTAGGAAAAATCTGACCACTTTTGCAATATACTGTACTGTGCATGATTTACAACTGCAACCATGTGTTCTGACTAGTTTTTTAGCGCTGTAAATAAAAAATCTCAGTTGTGATATTTCAGATATTGGTGGGATGTAACCCTTTCCTACTTTGGCAAGTGGGCTGATGCTTTCCAAATTATTGAGAATTAAGTCTGATTGTAGAATTGTAGATTTTTATTTATGTTGTCTCTTTTCATGTAGGAGCCATTGATAGTATTGGAAGTACCTCTTGGTGTCATAGCAAGAATTGAAAAGATGGGTGGTGCCTCAAGCAGAGGAGAAAATGCCTATGGCCTAGATATAACTTGCAAAGTAAGTGCATTTTGCGGTGTAAATTCTATGTTAGAGCCTAACTCCAGTTTTCTGTCACTTTAAAATAATTTGTTTGGGCCAAGTTTGTCCAAATGATTGTCTTCCCTAACAGATGCGGCCGCTGTTGGCACGGTACAGACTGTATGTAGCATCTGCTACATACAGTATACAGAGCTGTGTTCTGGCTGCTGGACAAAACCTTCCATCCCATTCAGGAGAAAATGGGAGTTGGTCTGTGAGTGGCTGAGCAATGCTGAGCCAGGTTCGGTTTTGATCTGGGAATGGGATGGCAAATTCTGTCCTGCTGCTGGAACATAGTGCTGTATACTGTATGTTGCTGATGCTACATACAGTTTATACAGCACTGACAGTGGCTGCATTTGTTAGGCAAGGTAAGTATCTGTTAACAAAGTCCAGCAACAAAAAATCCAAAGTGCTTGTGGTGTTCAAATAATCAATTGTGTCCAAAAATATATCACCAAGTGAATCCACCACCAAAATCGGTTAAATAAAACTCACCAGAGAAATATGCTGATTGTATAATAGACAAGCATATAGCGCTTGTTGCTCTGGGAGCGATGATCATCATTTTGTTTGATATATATTTGCATACATCTAAGCGCAGCCTATTTCTGAAATTTTGCATATCCTATATACATTATAGGTTAGGTTTGCAGCTCATCTTTGATTAATATTTTATATATTTATCCATGGTGCCATTTCTATTTACTACAAGTATCTGTTAACACCAGCCACTGCATTACAACGTTGTGGCGGCTAGTGTGTGGCACAATCTGGCTAGATACTGCAGTGCCAATATGCTGAATATTTATTTATTTTTTTAAACAACCTTTATTTAAATGTCACACAGTTACATTTCATAAAGTTCTGTTGGCCGCTGCGTGGTACAAGGTGGTGGACTGCTTCCCACTCTGCTGAAAAAGGTTACTGTCAGTCATACTTTTTTCAGCACACACTTCCTGCACTCCACTGCAGCGTGGTGGTATGAACTGGTCACATTGGGGACCAGGCATTTTTCCTTGTCTTTTGGTGGGATTTCGCAGAACTTGACAAATTTAAAGCTGAACTCTAGCAAACACTTTTTTTTTTTTTTTTCCTTTTGGTTTTTGTTTATTAATTATTGTAAATATTTATTGAGGGCCAGAGCCTACATTTTAAAACTGTACACAATTTCAACAAGAACATATTGTGTATAAACGTTACAGTGACAGAAATCTATCATTGGCTTAAAAATAAGCAAGGTTAAAAAAAAACAAAAACAGGAACATATATGAACAGCATGACATTCAGTACTCTTTAAGAACATGAATTATTATAAACCTGCACATCTTCATATTACAGTGGTTTGCATTATTAGTCAAAGGCATAGTACTTATAATAGTGTCCAGACTATATAAAAGGGGATGATAGAGGAGGGGAAGGAAAGCATTTACCAAAGGGAGAGTGATCCCATGCTCCCCAAATAGAGTGGAAAATACCAGAATGTTCACCCACTAGAGCCGTAAGATATTCCATTTCTCTTATTTCAGAGATCTCTCCTAAGAGATGGTTTTGCGATGGTATATCTGCTGATTTCCAAAAACGTGGTATCACCCTTCTAGCAGCTGTCAAATAGTGAACTCCCAACCCTTTAGATGATTTGGGGATACCCCTAAAGGGTAGACCCAGGAGATAATGTAGCGAATCTAGGGGCAGGAAAAAATTTAAGTACTTGTTCCAATATCTTTTGACCCATAACCCAATATCCCTTAATCTGCGGGCAGAACCAAAAGATGTGTGACAATGTACCCACTCCTTCTACACCTCTCCAGCATTTATCTAATAAACTTGGGTTAATTGCATGAAGTACTTCGGGAGTCCTATACCAATGCATCAACACCTTATATATATTTTCTTTGTATACTACACAACGAGATGACTTGGCAGCCGAGTCCTATATCACCTGTCAACATTTTAAAGAAATTGGACCTTGAAGTTCATCTTCCCATCTCTTCATACACCGGTGTGGCTTCTCAACCATAGATTCTTTATTAAGAAGCAACTTATATAGAGAGGTGATCAGAATTTGCTGGGAGGGACCTTTCCACCTTGAAGACAGCTGGAAATGGAGAAAACTGATCCAAAAAAAAGAATTTAGAAGTGAAAATGACACAAAAGTAGGGATGCACCAAAATTTCAGCCACTGGAACATATCGGTTGAAAATGATAGGAAAAATTTAGCTGATAAAGGAGACTGTGTACTGCAGACGTGAGGAGGGGGGGGGGGGGGTCTGAGAGAGGCAGGAGAGGAGCAGTGTATACAGTGACTGGCTGTCACTATGGGGTTTATTTACTAAAGCTGGAGAGTCCAAAATCGGACTCCCTTCTGCATAGAAACCAATCAGCTTCTAACCTCAGCTTGTTCAATGAAGCTTTGGCAATGAAACCTGGAAGCTGATTGGTTTCTATGCAGAAGTGAGTCTGATTTTGGACTCTCCAGCTTTAGTAAATAAACCCCTATATGTCAGTGCCGGCTTTTAAGTGTAATTACCTGATTTGTTTTTTTTTTGTTTGTTTTTTTTTTTCACTATAGCTCACAGAATTATTTACTTTTCCCCCAACTAAAAGATACAAAGTTTCCTTTAAGTTTATTTCCTGAGATAAAAGAAACAAAGTTTCCTTTAGCTCAGGGGAAAAGTGACCGCTAATTCTGTGAGCTATAGTGAAGAAAAAAGCCGCCAATTGCATTTAAAAACCGGCACTGACATATAGTGACAGCCAGTGAGGGAGTCTCTCTGTATACACTGCTCCTCTCCTGCCCCCTCCTTGCACACAGTGCCCCCACCCCCTTCCCCTTACAAAGAGGACCTGTCACTTATATGCTATCACATAGGGGACTATTGGTCCTCTATGTGATAGCAATAAAATCATAAGTTAAAAAAAAAATAAATAAAAATATACATGAAAGTAGAAAAAAATACAAAAAAAAAAAATTGGAGCCTCCCCACCCCCACGTACAGACATTTTGGTTTCGGTTCTGTTTTCGCACACATGCATTCTGAATTTTCGGTATCGGTTTCGGCAGCAGAATTTTCATTTTGGTGCACCACTACACAAAAGGTTAGACTTCTCATTATAGTGCTGCTATTCAGGTGCATAATTCTGCAAAAAAGAGTGAGGGTTTTAGATTTCACCTTAATGCATTAAGACAAGAAACCTTAAGCCTTTAGAACCACTTCAACTTTGCAAAAAAAAAAAATAAAAATAGTTTTGTATAGCATAATGGTTGTCAGTTCATGCTAAAATCGAATGGGGCAGTACAGAAAGTGCTGTACGAGTTATTTGGGAGTCCTACCTTTTTATGTTATGTGTATGAAAATGCCAGGGTATTTGCATGTGTTTCTGTGCTATTATGAGAAGGCTTCTACATCTTATTTTCCCCAATCTAGGACATGAGGAACCTGCGTTTTGCTCTGAAACAGGAAACGCATAGCAGAAAACAGATATTTGAGGATCTAACAAGACATGCCTTTCCCCTGTCACACGGCTTGGTATGTGCACTAATTGCTAAGAAACCACAATTATCTTTTTCTGACTGTTTCTGTGAAAGCCAACTTTTTAGTCACGTTGAAAACACAACACACATATGGGTTTTGATCAAGAATTTCATTATGTTTTTAAAGCTTACCAAAATGTTATTTTATTATTCTGGCATAAAGTGTACTTGTAACGGAACCATATTGTCTAAAGTATGACATTATATATAAATGTTTCATTACCTGGGTCTCTCACACTGCATGGCAGCAAGTATATTGTTTGGTACAGGTTTCCTTTTTTCTTTTTGTTTTCTTTTTTTTTTTTTTTTTTTTGTTGTTTACTGACAAAAAAAAAATACCCCTTCTGCTGTTGAAGCAGATTTCTGCTGGTAGGAGATTAACAGGATGTTCGAGAAATCTTAGTTACTGCTTGTATGATCTGCCATCCATTTGTCTGCTAAGTTGGTGTAGAATTTTAAAGATATTAAAGGCTCTGGTTTAAAAAAAAAAAAAAAAAAAAACTTAAGAATAATTATGTCGTACTTGCTCTATGCAATGGTTTTGCACATAGCAGTCCTAATCCTCCTCTTCTTTGGTCCCCCACCAGAGCTCCTGGCTCCTTCCACCCCCCCCCCCCCCCCCATATGCTGAATGCCCCCAGAGCAAGTGGCCTGTTCTTGAGCCCTGCTCTGTGTGTCTATAAGATTGTGAAAGTGTGGCTCAGCCCCACCACCAGCACACTCCTAACTGGTTGTGATTGACCGCAGTGGGAGCCATTGGCTCCTGCTGTGTGTCTCAGCCAGTGAAGAGAGAGAGACCCAGGAAAGCTGAGGCTCCTGTGCACAGCAGTGGATGAAGATCGGGCTCAGGTAAGTATTGGGGGGCTGTGGGGGAAGCAGCATACAGGTTTTTTTTTTTCCTTTACCTTCATGTAAAGAATCCATTAAGGTAAAAAAAAAACTTTCAGCCTACCCTTGGTGACTTAGAGAGACAATCATCCAAGTGTATGGTCTCAAGAATCGGGTTTCATAGTTTCCTGTCAAGGGACACACTATAAGACCTGTGAGTGCCTCTTCAGCTTTTCAAAACGGAGCAACTGTTTTCCTGCTTATAAGGGCAGAGGAGAGATCTGACCCTAGATCTCTCCATAAAGATAATCTGTCACATTTTTTAGCTATCACATGGGATTATTATTTTTTTTTTTAAAGCACCCCTGTTTTACCTTGCTTGCACACAAAGGCAAAAGCACACGTTTGTCCCGCATGCATATGTAAATGGTATTCGTACCACATGTAAGGTATACTTAAGTATCGCAATTTGTTGTCATTATGCGAGCATGCGCAGGTTTAAAGTGCCATATGTTATGCATCTGTTGACTCAGCACAACATTATATTTTACAAATGAATGGGTATTCTATTGTGTTAAAATTCATTCAAGTATATTGTTCCAAAATAATTGCATTT